GGTTATGCATCTCATTGGTATGAAACGGTTAATCATATTGATTCGTTGAAGGCTTGAACTTTTAATTTTTTTATTTTAATTTATAAATTAACTTCATTTCTTTTATAATTTTCTGAATTCTTGTAGAAAAGCAATAAGGAAAGGTTGCATGTATGTAAATCAAATGAAAACATTACGTGTTAGTTAATAACATTTTTTGATCATAATCTTGTTTCAACATGTACAGTTAAAAATTTTATAGATTATTTTCTACATTGTACTAGACAATCGACGACATTTTCATCTATAATTCAGTCTGGATTTATTTTTTTATTATATTATTTTTTCATGCACTATAACCCTTATCACTATCATACATCGAGTTTCTTAAAAATAAAGTCTTGATAAACTTTTCTTTCAGTAAGTGTGCTTTATTTATACGCTGTGTCTATTCGCACCAATTATATCCAAGTACTCGCAAGCACCTCGCTCGCTTTGCTCGCTTGAAAAAAAAAAAAAACTTGGACCCTATAAGTACCGGATAGTAAAGTTGCCCTCTGCGCATGCGTGTCTACTATATCCACGTAATTGCGTAGATATACGGTGGGTTTTGGTGCAAATAGACACTATCTTTTTTATAATGCACAAAATAGCTGTTAGTTTTCGAAATGCTGTTGTGCATGTGTAAGACATATAAGTAAAAAGTTACCCGCAATTTCTTTTAAGAAATGACAAAGTGTTGACAAATGACAAACTTCATGCGCAAAGAGTAAGCTACCGTTCTTGGTTTTACCATTACCAGGCATATAAATTCTTTTGCAATTTTTTGCAAGAGTAGCAAGATTATACTTAAAATCATTTATTGTAATGCCACCATCATACCACTCAATACCATGCACTTCTAGCATCTGATAATCATTATATTATTTTATATTGTGTGATAACTGATTGTGATCGCAGGGTAGCTTGATCATTCAGTGCCCAAAAATGATTCCTTATAATAATACTACTGCAACTTCTTTGGTATGCAATATTCATCCGCACCGCAAAAGTCTTGAATATCTATGATAAAACTCATGATATTAAGAACTACTAATCTCTTTTATAACCTTCATTCACAGAAAAAAATTTTTTATTCGATGAGTATCTATAGGTTGTGATTTTTTTTCAGAACTGAAAACGGCGATTTATTTTTCTTTTTCTCGTCTTCGCCGTTGACTAGGGGCTTTTTCTTCTCTTTTCTGTCGCTCTTACCACTTTTCCATATTGCGAAGAACTGAAGAAAATATGTTAAGCAACCACAGTTTATAACTTCTTTTCATCAGAGCTAGTGACATCTTCCAATTTCATTTGAGAATATAATTTTTTTATTCTTCAACATTGTAAATAGTACACATGGATCTATACAAACCATTCTGATATCAGCATGCTTTTGCCAAAGATGGTAGCTCAAATGTTGGATAGTCCAACATATTAGTAACATAGAAGTAAAATTGCTCAACCCGTTTTTTCTTTGTCTCACCGATCACAAAAAATTTGAAGCATTTTTAAGATTCTCTCGAAGCTCAATGCCAATTTCTGCATAGTTTATACCACTTGATTGCCAATCTAGTCCATAATAGTTTAAGTTAAGCCATAAATTTGATTGTTTGTATTTACCAGTTAATTTACGCCCAAAAAATGGTGGCTTAAAGAAAAAAATATATGGATCAACATTTTTATCAAGCAAAAAAGTTGCCAATTCTCTTAACGCATAATCATTACTAAGCTTCTTGAAGTCTTGCATGTCTACTACATACTCCATCACGATTCTAAGTCATGATAAGGACCAACCCGAATAACTGAAACTAAAGTGTGTTAATTTTTAGACAAGTCTAGACAAGTTTTCTCACGTCTCCACTCACAGGATTGTATTTAACTATGTGATCGTGTAAAATTAGACAATAGGCAGCTGTTCCTGGTGGGAAGGTATCTTTTGTCCCAAATTCCAAACGCACATTGACTGGCATGCTTTTCAAAGCTTCGTTATGTTTTAATAAGTCAATAACGATGAGGGGCATGTGTGTAATAAAATCTTTTTTACTAAGCATGAGTTCTTCTTCTTGAACATAGTATGTATTTTAAAAATTTGTTTACATACTGTAAAGTAATGCAAACTGATTGTTGTCAATTTTAAGATTGAAATTACCGTTTGAATAATACTGTGAGTTAAGGAATAATTTAACATTACTCATACCACACTGATCAAAGTGGCTAGCATTTATTGCTTTTCGCCTTTTTACGATTCGTTTGAAACCCCAAAATGGCAAAGTGCGATTTTTCAAGCTGATTCGATATTCTGACAGTCCAAACGTGTTTTTAAGGTGATGGGAGGAGAGGATACTCATACAGCTTCCAATTACAAGAACACATAGAAATAAGTCAGTCTTTCACAATAACATCAAGCTGCCGAATTTTTTGCCTATCTGACGCATTGACATAAAGCATGAGCCACTCTGTACGAATCAACGAAGTTTCAAAATTCTCGTAAGCATCATCATCAGCTGTTTGTATGACTGCATTTAAGACACATTTCGATCTTATGAGAACAAATTCATGCTTTGCGTTAACAACAACTTAACGATAGTCTTCATTATCAGTATCATGTTTAAAGGTATTGAAACGTCAAAATAACTCGCACCGTTAATCAGCTTGCTTATCTCTGCAATATCTAACCAGCCCGCGTTTTCTAGTATTAAACTTTGAGTGGGATAAGGTGACACCCATTTCTTCATCAATTTTGTTATACCAACATTTTTGCACTTATCTATTTTAATACTGTTAAGTTCGTAGCATATTTCTTCAAATAATTGACAAATATCATTATTAACTAATGCAGTTCGCGTAACTACAGCATCATTAGTCAATATGATCAAACCTCCCGCAAATATATAGAGCACTATGCGAAGGTAACAGGCATAAATTTCGATGTTGAATCAAAATACAAATTTTATTACTAATGTCAATGAAATGTATGGTTGATGAGCATGGATTTCATAATGTGTAATTTACTTGTCAAATACGACACTTGACTGAATGTTTCGGATTTCTTCTATCTTTAAGGAAGCAGGAAAATATGCATATAAATTTAGCCAGCAACAATTTTATAACCTAGGCTTTTTAGGACCTGTGCGTTTGGATGTGTTAACGCTTTGTTTGTCCGTTGATGACTGAGTGTTTTTCTCCATGTTAGCTTGCTTATAAACCCTCTACCTATTTTCTGCACAGTATAAATAATACTAATACTTAATTCGATTGTTTAATGTGAGGTCTCATTGTTATAATGTCTCCCCAAAAATTCACCAAATTTCCATCCTAATCATTTATTAGTACGCACTTGCAGATAATCTATAGTCTTCACTGCAACAGGTAAATAAATTAGCTATGATGGAACCTCAACGATTTTATAGCCTGGTGGAACTGCAGGAAAAAATTCATGAATCGTATGAACTTGATGTTGATTAATATAATATGTATGCTCCAGTGTTAACGTTGCATTCAATTCGAAGTGCATCACTTGAAGTATCGCTACAGGTTGATCCGACTCACGAGTCACAACTGACCTAAGTATACGTTTTGTGAGGCCCAATACTGACCCATATAAGTCATGCGGTCGAGAATCAATGAGATAACTGCAGTTAATTAAGCTGTAAAGCATATTATTGTTTGGCCTTAAACTTATGAAGATATTTTTTGATGTCAGTTCATTGAGAAGGTAAATTTCTATGTATTCGATTTCATAACTACCTGTTGGCAAAGTAGTTACCTCATCATCCACGTAAGGTTTCACATTACCCTCGTAAATGTTAGGTATAAAATTAAACGTTAGTAGTTCTACTAATCCAAGAACATAATTTCTATACGGTAAAAGTTCAATTGGAGAAAAATATTATGCTTCGATAATAGACGATGAGCCAGTCAAACTCAAGGTGAATGTTTCTCCCATGATGGTTAACAAACAAATAATAACTTGACGCATATTTATTGCTTATATAGCTTTGCGATTAAGGCACTTTGATAAAAATCGGAGACATGGGTGACCACAGTTGTATTTGTAAACTCTTGATATCTTTCGTAATTGTACCTAACTTAATTAACTTTGAGGTATAAAATTAAATCCAAAGGGAGTTGAAGATCACTCAGACTATCAAAATATGTAACATTATTCCTACGTTATCTGTAGGCAGCCTAGTGAGTGCTGGGACCGTCTTTCTCATCTAGATTAACAATAACTGATTCATTCTTAAGTGGACCACTAGATGCCATATCATTTCTCATGTACACTCCTAAAAAATCCAGAATTTTCAAAATTTGTGCATATTTTATAATATGCTGATTTGTTAGCACTTAATTGGGTAATTTCACTTTAAACTTTTTTTTTCTAACCCATGTCCTGATTTTACGTAGAAGCCCAATTTTTTTCTCTAAGGTTTTAAGAAAAGACCTTTGCCAAGCAAAATAGCTTCCATTTTTCCATCATGCCTCGCACTTTCTTCGAGCTGCTTTTTAGCTTGTTGGGCTTTATTAATTGATTTATATATACTGCTTGCTCCGTTAGCAAAAGCACCTATTGCGCTAAAACCTATGAGCGCAAGGATAACATAGTAAAAAACCACCAATTTTTGGAGGTGTACGTAGTATACGAGGTGTTATAATATTTTTTTACCACCAGTTTTTTTACAGTGTCTCAAGCCCTCTTTATAGCTAAATTTACAACTTTGCGAGCACATTTACTTTGAACCATAGACTTTTTAGCACTTCAAATTAATTTTCTCAAAGTAATTACTTTTTCAATTTTTTTTGTCCTATTCTTAGATAAGCCAATTCCAAGTTTTGATTTTGCTTTTATCACACCAGTTACAGCAGAAGCAGCAGCCTTTTCACCAATACCTAAATTTTTGCTGTAAGGCATTGCCAAGCACTTTCAGCAAGAATTTTGTATGCTACGTTTCTAGACAGAATATCTTCAGAATTCTGAGAGTATGCCACATCTTGCTCCTTACAGGCTTTATGGCTTCATCCAGAGGATTGATACCAGGATTACCACAAGCAAGTCTTTTAGACAACTTGGTTCCCGGTCTGCAGTATCGATAACCTGGTATATGTAGTTCTACAGGGAAGCTATTGAGTATATTATTAATCACTCCACGATTCTTTTTCGGTGAATGATCATCACTGTTCAAGAGCCAAATTGCAAATAATGTTAAAATTACAAAAACTTTTTATTAATAACTTAAACAATCAGTTGTACGTGAGTCATTGCGCAGTCATCATGAATTTTATTAAGCAAAAAATAAAATTTTCTGTTAAGAATTCTGGCACACTTGTTAAGCAAGATAAAAAAATTAGACGTCATGAAGATCTACTCCCCGACACTATAAGTGCTGTTTTTTGTGGCCCTTTAAACTGTTAAAAACCAAATAGCTTACTCAGTTTAATAACACATCTTAATGGATTAGGATTTGAAAATGTATACATTTACATAAAATTACTGAATCAGCCAAAATATAAGTTCTTGTAAGAGCTAATACAACCTATTGAGGATATTCAATTTTTTTAACATGTCTGAATTTCGTCAAGAAAAAAAAGTTCTTCAACAGATTGTAAAGTCTACAGAAGCTATCAGGCATAAGCATAAATTGTTAAAAAATGAAAGATCAAATTTCGATAAAGCCATTGGTGAAAAATTTAAGCCAATCACCCATCCTCTTCAATAAACCATTAAAGAAAGTAAGAGAACTTTGCCTTTCAAGTGTCTATTTTATCTAGTATTCCTCCAGTTTATCAAAGAAAGTTAGATAAACGCATGCAGTAAAGAAAACAACTTGCTCATAAATCTCTACTGTTCCTGTCATCCATTATTGATGATAGTGACGCTGATGTTTCTAGTAATGATGCTACCAATCTAGCTAAGCATACTTTTCAAACTCAAACGTCTCAAACACCTATGAGTCATGGCACTGATGACGTCAATGTTTCTTTGGATAGTGTTTCAGGAGGCTACGCCACAGTTGTTGAGTATGATGACACCGTACATGATAATATTGAGTTGTATCTTTAAATATTGGATCAAAATAAATTAGACCAATTGCATTAAATCTCTAGTGTACTAAAAAATGATAGAGTTTATATGCTAGGTAATTCAAAAATAAGTTTTGATAATAATTAAATTCAAATAAATGAGAGAAAATGTCCTATAACTATGGGATTGACGAAGCTACTTATTAAAAAACATGCTAATAAGAATCTTATCACAAATGCGGATTTAATAAATTATCATCTTTTTTGGGAGACTTCAAGCGTACATAGAAAAAATCTGACAAAAATGCAAGTGTACGAAATCAGAATAGTATGAAATATAATAAAGTAATTGGATCAATGTTTGATAAAGTTGTTGCAAAAAAACTAGGTGGTGCATTACCACAACTAAAAATTGTACGCTTAATTACGTAGTTAGACTATGTATATTAGGATGATCCCAATGAGCTACTTGATCGAATCCAATTGCTAATTGCTAAGAGATTAGCTGGTAACCCTAGCTATACAAATTAAATTCATTCGATTATCGAAGAGTTGCGAGAAGGTGGTATTATATATGAAGCTGATACTCAATCTTGATTTCAGTATCAGCATGATCGTTGACGTATTTGGATGTAAGTTGGGTAAAATTGAGGGTGATAGCGTTTGAGGCTCTCCAGGCATCGGATACGGACTTACTCCAGATGATCAGTATGATTTGAATAACAAGAGATTGTGCAATGCTGCAAAACCGATACAGCTTTAGAATGCAGTAAACTATGCTTATTTGAATGAAAGACTCCAAATTATTGTTGAAAAAATTGACAACATTTGATCTGCTACAGACAACTTGGAAAAAGAATTTTGATTCATTCGGGCATTGACAACAACTGTTAATCTAGAAACTTAAAACATGGAAGGGGTTGTTAAGAAACTTCACAAGCCTACTGGACGTAACTATCCTCGCCGAAAATTTAACGTGCGTGGCTTAGATGAGACTTTGAAAGTAGATCTTTTTAAGATGACCCTATGCTCGTGAAAATAAAGGCTATAGATATATACTTACTGTCATCGACATATTTTCTAAGTATGCATGGGCTGTGCCAGTAAGTAATAAAACTGGTGAAAAGTAACAGCAGCTATAAACTCTATATTAGTTAAAGGACGAGTACTAAAAATTCTACAAACTGATCGTGGAAAAGAATCTTACAACTCAAATTTTCAAAGTCTTATGCAAAGCTTACAATTATTGTATACGCTACGTAGAGTAATCTTAAAGCATCGATATGTAAGCGATTTAATCGTACTCTAAAACATGCTATGTGAAAAAAATTTAGCTTGCGTAGTTGCCATAAGTGGATTGATATCTTACCCAAATTAAATACAGCATACAATAATCGCAAACACCAAATGATTGCAATGAAACCTAAGAATGTGTCAGCTGCTAATAAAGATAAGGTTTCGAAAAAACTTCTATCCATAGCAAAAGTAAAAGTGAAACATAAATTTAAAGTAGGTGATAATCTCCGCAGATGGTAATGAGTCAGTCATATGGACTAACTTTCTTTGACTTATGGTTTGCACTTTGTTTTTGTTGTGGTCACGTACACATTTTACTTATTGCTGCACGTCTTTTTCATGAGTTTTTAAAAAACTTTCTAGTTCATTGTACTGCTTGATATTTTTCTCTTGAATAGTAATTTCTTCGTAACTTCCTCTTGCATTATCTTCTCCTTTTTTCCCATTCACTATTTTATAATATCTCCAAGATAATGTATGCGTAGAAATAGTAAGAACATATCACTTTTCATCGTGGGAACTAAGAACAATTTTACTTTGCTTCTCAGTATGAATTTTATGATGGCAAGATCTAATATTCAATTACTCTTGCCGAGTACTTTTGCTTATATCATGCAAGCAGTTAGTGTAATCTTGAAACCCAGTAGCAGCTTTCACAATGTTAGGTTACACACCCTTTGTTTTTTTTATTACATTTTTATTTTTCATTAGAAAACTGTACATTTTACTTCCTAGGCCAACAAATTTTGATGTGATATTTTTATTGCACTCATCCTTTATGAGTCCAATAACTTTCTTATTTTTTAATGGCATCATAAATTTATTATTTTCTGGATAGTTTGATGTATTAAGTTCTTGTATGTCAGCTTTCATCATTTTATAAATATCATGATTTGTAATTTTATAGATTAAACTGTCTGTATTAGTATAAAGTAATTTAGAACTATTTTTTTGCTTGAAAAGCATATAGTCATAAAGAAAGCAAAGAACGAAAGTTTTGGATAAGTCTCACACACTAAGTTTATTTAATATACATAGGCTTTCTTATTCTCATTTCTGTACGTTGCAGTTGAATGACTATAAAATTCTCATCTAAAATATCCCAGCTGTGAAAATTAGGTTAAGAAACATAAAATCTTGCACCATATTAATCACTCCAATGATCTAACAGCTTAACATCGATACGTTTTCTTTCGTTTTCCATTGTTTTACTAAAAATTGCATTATCAAACAGTTTGAAAATTTTTTTTTAAACTCATTTTTAGGCTTTTTTCTCTAATTACTATTTGGGTCAGCTTATTCCTTGAGCCATGCATTCTGCCAAAATTTCTAAGCACGATAAATTCTTTTGACTCGTAATCTATAGTCTACGACTTGCTTAAGAGCTTCAGAGTGCAATACATAAGTTTTCTTAACATACAATGTTATCATGAATTTCGTCTATTTTGATCCTAAAGCCGCTGTATGATCTACACAAAATGGTAAATCATTATGAAAATCATGAAGCTCTTTTGGGTACTTCAAATCAACTTCTTAAATATAACCGTTAGCTTTTTCTCTGCCAATTTTATAAAAATCTTGAGGCTGTTCTTGAATAACCTCTACCCATATATATTCCCATTAGGCAGTGGTTGAGTCATTGACCGTGCGTATAGATTATTTACATCAAAATAAACTATATACTTTTCGGCTTTATGTTTTTGATAATTTTCCGTTTACTGATTATTGGCCTCATCATGTCTGTTACAGCATTGGCTAATTTTCCTTCTAATTCCATTTTCAATAAATAAAAAAATATTAATGCTGGTAATGAGTTCGAATGGAATCTAAAAAATTATTATGAACTGCTAATTTGTACCAGAGTAATTTTACTTGTACTTAAGTATATAACAACTTACGTTTGTTTTTTTAACATAGAATCCCAAATAAACCCTGGTGTAGTAAAATAGTGCGCTAAATCTCATTTATATATTTTTAAACAATCATTTCAAAAGTTTTCAAAAATTTCTGTCAATAGAAGAACATCAGTTTGAAGATATAAACCTGAGTATTCTCTCAGATTTTTAATATCAAAGGTTTTTCATATAGTTTCAGCATGTTAGTGATCCTCATTACTTACATGTGTGTTGTATAATCTACTGTAAAAATTCTTTTGAGAAAGAAGCGTAGTTTCTCTTAGTTTCTCATACAACAACACGTAATCGTATGAAAATATACCATTGCTTTTGAGCATGTTAATTTATTCTAAAGAGTTAGCATTATCTTGACTGAAAACATACTCTAAAATATTATACTCCTTTAAATAGGATGCCAATTTATGTAGAGATAATGGTAAAAATCGGAACGAGTCAATAAAGCGTAATTTAATGCTCATCCCTTCAACGTGTTTTGTGAAAGAAATATACTTTTCTTTCGTTTGGAAAATGACTTTTACTTGTCCAGCAAAATGAGTAACAAGTTCTTGTATGTATAAGTGTGCAGCACAATTACTTAGATAACAAAAAACTATGGGTATTGATGGAGAGTCTTGGTAATGGATATCGGATTTATTATAATCAGACCCTTGATATCTAAATGATAAATATTAAATTTTAACTTTAAGAAACGAATCTTTTAATAAAGGTACATATATCATAATTACTCTTCAGTCAAATAATGATGGCCATGAACTTTATCAATATTCATAAGTACTTTTTCACACATATGACACCTGTCCACATCGAGAAAATCAAAATCTTCCTGACCAGTACAAGGTCTAATTGGTACTAGATTATTAAATATGCTTTGTAGCTCCAAAGCAAGATCGTGCATTTTTTTTACAAACCAAGTACCCGAATCTTCAACACTCTCATTGTCTTATCTACAAAGCATGTATCGTGATTTAGCACTATTAAAATTGCACATTACGTAAAATCCCACACTTAGAGTTCTATGATGCTGTATGGCTCTTTCCCGGTCATGTATGGGTTGTAAAATACATTCAAAGTCTGCATAGATAATAAATGTTTTTGAATTCATATTCTTATGATTTTAAAATCTTAAATTATTATTGTCAGAATTCGGCCAAGTCACTTTACACTGGTTAACTTTTACGCACTCTACCGTATGGATTTTTAATTTATCATCTGAAAGCAGCGATCACAAATATATATTTTATGCTGGTGTTTAGTTAAAGAGCTGTAAGCAACTCAAGATACATTATTAATACACACAAAGTGATATTTTTTATTATCACTATCACTATCACTGTCACTATATTGAATTACTTTTTTTTTCTTCTTCCTCGTCTTCTTCATCTTCCGCATATTCTTTATTTATCGTGACATCATCAATATACATTTCAACACCCACATGGTTTTTTATTTTTTTTTATTCTTCCATCACTATTTATATTTGTGTAGTCACTTTTTACGAGCAGTGGATTTACATCTTTGTTTTCTTTTCAGTTGTCAAATGGAGGGGTAATATTAAAAAAAATTATTTCTTTTTTCAAAAACATACATTAATTGAAGTATTATTTTGTTTTTAGGTATCTGTTTCGGTTAGACGAAGTAGGTAAGGCCACTTTAATTGTAATTATTTTCATATTTTCAGTAACTAAAGACACGATTTGGTCTATAACGCTTAGGACGTGAAGCAGATATAAGGGCCCATTTGAAGTACTGTTTATCTGTATTTTGAACATTTATACAAGCTTTTTT